AAGGGAGGCAAGGGGATTGTGGTGTGGCCAGTCCCCCTGGGGGGGGGGGTGATTTCTCATTTTCTGTCTCTCTGGTGAGAAATAAATCTCTCTCAAAAATGAAAACCAATAAAAAAAGGAGTCTTCCCATCCAGAATACACTATATATTGGCTCAAGGATATTACCATACATATTATTTTCAACAGATAATTTTCCATTTTGTGTTTCTTTAATGTTTTGCTTCTTTCTTTTTACTTCTTGATTCCCTCCCTCTCACCTTCTGCCATTTTCCACCCTCCTCCCTTAAGACATGAGTTTTGGGAAAGACAAACCATAACAGCCCTTTGATTTTGGGTCTTAACGTTGTGTTATTTTTCTTGGAGGGCCTTTCAAATCATATAAACATTGCTTCCCCAAAAAACAAAACAGAACAAAACACCTAGATCGGCCTATGGGCTAGCACTTGGAGTAAGCTAAGGGAAAAGTTGGAGGAGATGAGCCTGAAGAGGTGTAAGCAGGAGCCAGGTCATGGAGGGATTTATGGAAAGTGCAAAATGGTACCATCAAAAGGTTTGTAAAAGTAGAATGATGTAGTCCAATTGGCCTTTTACAGAAGGTACTTTGGGACAGAATGGAGATGCACTAGAACAGCCAGAAGACCAATCAGGAAAGAAACTATTGAACCAATTAGATTGAGACAAGTGGTAAAGGGAAGATGAGACAGATTGGGTAAAAACTGAGAAGGTAAAACCAATAGGACTTGGTGGACATTTGGAGTAGGGTTGGGAAGGCAAAAGAAGAATATAGAATGAGGTCCAAATTTCTGGCCTTGGAGTGGACAAATGGCATGCTTTAAAGAGGTAATATAAGAGAACTGAGTGTCGAAATAAGCCCTGGCGTACTATTGAGTTTGAGTTGTCCACGTAATACCGAGATACATGATGACCTTCATTCAGCAGCAGGCGGTTGAACCCACAGAGTTGGATGTCAGAAGAGAGTCTAGGCTGGAAATAATAGATTTCCGTTATCAAGATGCAGGTGTTAGGTTCCAAGCATGGACACATGTAAGATTGCACAGAGATCAGAGTAGAGTGAGAACACTGGGCTGAAGACAAAAACCTGCAGGTGGAGGAAAAGATACTCTGAAAAGGAGCAGAAATAAGCAAAGAGGTAGGAGGAGAGCCAGGAGAGTGGGATTTGGAGAATGTATGAGTAAGGTGGTGGTAGACTGAGGGCTGAGGTCAGGTACCATATATTTTTTTTTTTTGAGAGAGAGAGATTTTTGCATGTGCTTGCCAGAGAGACAGACAGAAAGTGAGAAATCATCCCCCAGTGGGGGATGACCATGCCATACTCCCCTCTCCTCCATTCTTCTGGGATTTTGGACATGCATGCACACGTGCCAGGCTTGAGTTCCAAGCCACTGGATCCAGGGACTCAAACTGTGGTCAACTACGTGGGAGTCCAGTGACGTAACCATTACACCATCTGCTGGTCCCAACCATCAGCTTTTAACTAGAAGTCACGTGGTTTTCTCATGTGCTCATCACAGAAAGGACCATTCCGCATTTTGAGCAAAGCATCTGCTCTTTTCACGATTCTCTTGCTTCTTAGATAACCTGTATCTCAGATTCTCCTATTTCTTCCTCAGAGCTCCAATCATTTCCTTATGTTGAATAAAATATATGTAGTTTCTTAGTAATTAATCGAATTCTGTTTTGCATTTGAAATTTTAGAAGGACCTCCACTTTTCATAGGCTTGCTTATCATGGGAATCTTGTTCCCTTGAAAATAAATTAGACCCCGGGGGAAGGGGATATTGGGGCCAAGATACGAATGCTTAATCTCAGCTGCAGGTTGCCCAGGAATTCCTCAGTTAAATGTCTCACCGTTCTTTTGGTTCCATACACTCGATATGTCTAACATTGGACAACGCCGTGATAATGATGACTGGGAGGAATAAACTGATACTGCCCCTTAGGGGCTCACAGCTTCTGTTGTATTTCTTAATTTTCCTTATTGTTTTCTTTTCTGATTATAAATACAATTCATACTCATAAAAATCAAATAATACTAACTCTAATAAGTAGAAATGAAAAGTCTCTCTGAAACTGGGCAGGGGGGTCAGAGGTCAAGGGAGCTCTAGAAGTCTGTGATAAAAAGCAGCATTGCCTACATGCTGTCAGGGCCATTTTAGAGCATTGAAACAGGGAATCCCAAGGAAGAGTCTTGGAAAGTCAGGCTGGAGAGGGAAGTGCTTAGGAACTTAGGCTTCGGTCTCAGACAGACCTGGTTTCAAGTCCCATCTTGCCATTTATGAGCCCAGGAATCTTGGGCAAGATAGTTAAATCCCCTATGCCTCAGTTTTCTCGCCTGTAAAGTGGGGGAGATGATGATGATAATATGTACCTTACAGAGTTGTGACGAAGCTTATGAAATCCTTAAACATCGCCCAGCACAGAGTCACTACCTAATAAATGAAAGCTATTATTAGGTTCCTGATTTTTATGGATAGAAGAGGTGAGTTAGCGTTGTATCATTCGGCATATGGAAAAGAATTATCAGAGGTGTCCAGGAAGATAAGAACTGCAAAATATCTGTTGGCTTTGGCAACACGAAGCTCATTAATAATTTAGGAATATTAAGTCCAGAGGAACTGTGGGTAGAAACTCGATTGCCATGACTGCTGAGTGAATGAGAAATAAGGACACAAGGCATCGGGATATCAAAAAAGAGCAATAGAACAGGAAAGTGAGTCCAAGATTAGATTCCTGTTTATATGGAAAGTCAGTATATGTCAGTCAGCAGGGAAAGGATGGACTATTCAAGAAAGGATGCTGGGAAAACAGACCATCCATTGAGGAAAAAAAAAAGAGAGAGAGAGAGAGAGACCCTCTAACACAACCACATTCACAAAAATAGATCCCTGCTGGACTAAAAACAAATTCTAGAAATATAAGGAGAAAATATTGGAGAATAGTTTTATAACTTTGTAGGTAGAGAAGGTTTTTGTAATCATGACACAAAATCCAAAAGTCACAGACTACTGACAGATTTCAATTCGTTACGCACACGTGCCCAAGATTCTGGGAGGAGAATGGAAGCGAAGGGATTCCAGTGGGGCTATCCCTCCTGGTAGGTGATTTCTCACTTTTCCTCTCACTGTCTCTGTCTCTCTCTGTCTCTGGTAAGTACACATGCCCTAAAGCAAAAACCTCT